GGCAAGGCCCCCCGCCGCTGGTGAAAGACGGGGGAGAAAAACACCTGTCAGGACTACATTGTGTGATGTCGATCTCGCCCGAAACCGCGGACTTGGGCATCGGGGGCTGGAGGAGGAGGAGGAGGAGGAGGAGGAGGAGGAGGAGGAGGAGGAGGAGGAGGAGGAGGAGGAGGAGGGCGCCATCGACAAGGAAGGTGAGGGCCACGAGGTCCACCGGCTCGACGCCCGCGTCGCCCCCCTCCCGCCCCCTCACTCTTATCCGCAATTGCGGGGTGGAAAAGGAGGAGGAGGAGGAGGAGGAGGAGGAGGAGGACGGGGAGGGAAGGGAGGGGAGCGGGAGCCAAAATGAGCGGCTTGCCTTTGCCCCGCCCTCTCAGCAGATTTTCTCGGGGCCCCTCCCGTGCAGGCTCCCCATGCGGCCTCCAAGCTTGGGGGGTCCCGGAGCGGTGCGGTGACGGGCCGCGCGGTGACCTCGGGATCCCCCCAGGGCACCGCGGCGCACGTCCCCTCATTGCAGCGCCTTCGGCCGCTGGAGCCCCCAGCCGCCCGAGACGTCCTCGGCGAACGACCCAGGCGCCAAGACCGTGCGGTCGCCCCGAGCCCCCACCGACTCACCACGCGGTGTGGTCGCCGCCCCGTCTGGGGGCCCTGGGTGGTCGCGGTCGGCGATCGGAAGATGAGCCGGGGGAGGGCGGAGGATGGCCCGGACGAGCCTCGCGCCTGCGTCCTCCCCTGTCCCTCGTGCCTCCTCTTCTTCTCCTCCTCCGCAATCTCCTCCCTCCCTCCTCTCTCTTCCAACCTGCTTCCTCCCCCCTTCCACCTCCCTCCCCACGTCCTCATTCCTCCTTCCTCCTCCGTCCTCCGTCATCTTTCCTCCCTGTGCCTTCTGTCTCCCTCCGTCCTCTTCCTCCTTCATCCCCTTGCCTTGGTAAGGAACTCCGGGTCGTCGTGCCGCTAGTCGTGCTGGTCGTGCAGTCCAGATGTTTCGCCCGAGACTTCCTCACAACGCTTACGCTCCCAAAGCTGACATCTCAAGCGCCAGCACGGGCGGAGGGCGGTCAGGCTTACTCATGTTTGATGGTCGGAGGCCTCCAGGCGCAGTTGCGCAGATGGAGCACGGCCACCTTTGCAGTGCGCGGCTCGCGCGTGGAACATCCTGGCATTTAGCGATCCTCAGGCCTAGGTTTTGGAGCAACTCTGGGGAGAGAGGTTGGGCCCTTGAACCAGTTCTGTCCCATGAGACTTCCGACTACCTCCTCATCATGGGTCATTCACTTTCCACCACTTGCACGGATAGGGGGCAATCATTTTGCAACACCATGCTCTCGCTCAAACACAGCGCACAATTATCCGCATTTTTCTGCGAGCTACAATTGTTGGTGACAACCCTGAACGATACCCACTGTGTCCTAAAGCAGTACGTGCCCAGATGTCCGTACTATCGTGGACGTGTATTTCAAACCACTCGCCGCAGTGACAGGCACGCTCGTGCTGCCTCACGTTTGCTTCATGAGGGTCGATTCCGAACGTGAGGGCGTGCTGCAGAATTGAATTCGTCTGCCGGCCGTACCCTGGTTATGTTCGTGCTGGCAGTGGCGGGCGGGCCTGCGCGAACGCCCGTAACCTTCTTCTGCCCGTGGCCTTCCGCGACGACAACGCAAAGCAGCTATAGTCACTGTGTCACCGTACCCGCAGGTCGGAAGAAGTGGGCCGACACATGAAGTAGAACGGCGTCGGACGTAGAAGTGGAACGTCCCAACACGCGGCCCGCCCCGCCAGCAAAGCCTGATTTCTTGGAGCTCCGCGCGGACCTAAGTGAAAACATGCGTGTGCCGTCGTCTGCTCGTCGAATCAAGTCCGATCGCGAAGCGAGCTCGAGAGAGAGTAGATCTTAACCGTGAGGAGCGTTGCGCTTGACCGTGAGTGATTGAGTGCACGGTGTGAGTGCACGGTGTGAGTGCACGGTGTGAGTGCACGCTGTGAGCCCACGCTGTGAGCCCACGCTGTGGGCCCACGCTGTGAGCCCACGCTGTGCGTGCCCGCCGTGGTGAGCCCACGCTGTGAGCCCACGCTGTGATCCCACGCTGTGAGCCCACGCTGTGAGCCCACGCTGTGAGCCCACGCTGTGAGCCCACGCTGTGAGCCCACGCTGTGAGCCCACGCTGTGAGCCCACGCTGTGAGCCCACGCTGTGAGCCCACGCTGTGAGCCCACGCTGTGAGCCCACGCTGTGAGCCCACGCCCCACGCTGTGAGCCCACGCTGTGAGCCCACGCTGTGCGTGCCCGCCGTGGTGAGCCCACGCTGTGAGCCCACGCTGTGAGCCCACGCTGTGAGCCCACGCTGTGAGCCCACGCTGTGAGCCCACGCTGTGAGCCCACGCTGTCAGCCCACGCTGTGCGTGCCCGCCGTGGTGAGCCCACGCTGTGAATGCACGCTGCGAGTGCACGCTGTGACTGCACGCGTGGGCTCACCACGGCGAGCACGCACAGCAGCGTGGGCCAACCACGCTGTGAGTGCACGCTGTGAGTGCACGCTGTTGTGAGCGCGCCCACAGCGTGCACGCACAGCGTGCGCTCACAGCGTGCACTCACAGCGTGCACTCACAGCGTGCACTCACAGCGTGAACTCACAGCGTGCACTCACAGCGTGCACTCACAGCGTGCGCTCATGGAGGGCACTCACAGCGTGCAGTCGCCATGTGCACTCACAACGTGCTCTCACAGCGTGCACTCACAGCGTGCACTCACCACAGCATGGGCTCACCGCGGCGGGCACGCGCAGCAGCGTAGGCCGAGTGAGTGCACGCTGTGAGTGCACGCTGTGAGTGCACGCTGTGAGGGCACGCTGTGAGCGCGGGCTGTGAGCGCGGGCTGGGAGCGCACGCTGCGCGCCACCCGGTGAGAAAGACTGCGAGCTCACGCTGTGAGTGCACGCTGTGGGGCCGGCGGAATTTCGAATGCCTTGCGCGCTGGATTTTTCCGCGCGGTCGATTTCCTCTGTGGTGTGTATGTGTGTGTGTGTGTGTGCGTGCGTTTGTGTGCGTGGTGGCGTTGCGTGTGGCGTCAACCCACCACACGCCACACGCCACACACCACACACACACACACTTCACGCAACACACCACACGCAAAACACCACATGGCACACACCTCACGCAATGCACCACACGCAACACACGACACACAACACAACACACGCCACACGCCACACGCCACACGCCACACGCCACACACCACACACCATACACAACACACCGCCCACCGCACACCGAGCGCCGCACTCCGCACAACACCCGACACACACGCACACACACAAACACACGCACACACACACCCACACACATACCACCACCCCACCACCACAACCACCACCACCGCCGATGATACCGCCCCCACCAACGCCACCACCACCACAATCACAGCCACCACCACTCCCACCACCGCCACCACACGCAAACGCACCACACACCCACACACACACACAAACCAGAGGAAATCGACCGCGCGCGGAAATCCAACGCGTAGGCAATTCGAAATTCCGTCGGGCCCACAGCGTGCACTCACAGCGTGAACTCACTGTCTTTCTCACCGGGTGGCGCGCAGCGTGCCCTCACAGCGTGCGCTAACAGCGTGCACTCACAGCGTGCACTCGCAGCGTGCACTCACAGCGTGCACTCACAGCGTGCACTCACAGCGCGCACTCGCAGCGTGCACTCACCACAGCGTGCACTCACCACAGCGTGCACTCACCACAGCGTGCACTCACCACAGCGTGCACTCACCACAGCGTGCACTCACCACAGCGTGCACTCACCACAGCGTGGGCTCACAGCGTGGGCTCACAGCGTAGGCTCACAGCGTGGGCTCACAGCGTGGGCTCACCATAGCGTGGGCTCACAGCGTGGGCTCACAGCGTGCACTCAATCACTCACGATTAAGCGAAAATCCACTCACGGTACAGCGTGGGCTCACCATAGCGTGGGCTCACAGCGTGGGCTCACAGCGTGCACTCAATCACTCACGGTTAAGCGAAAATCCACTCACGGTTAAGCGAAAAGCTACTCACGGTTTGGATTACCCGTCGTTCGAGACAATCGGGGGGACCTGGGCGCTTGCGGGGAAGAACGAACAAACGCTACTTTAGCGAAGGCTCCCCCAACTACGGGAATGGGCGTGTAGCGGCGCAACACCCGGTGCGCATCATCGACGAAATCTTCTTGCAAATTCTGGATGCTGTTGCCCCTGAAACTCGTGCACCAATGCTCTGGCGTAGCTGGCAAGCCGTGTGCCTGCAAGAACTTGCACAGGCTCCCGCTAGCACAGGACGACCACGCTAGAGGAGAGGGGGTAAGATCAGGAGGTGCGTGGTGTGCGTAAGGCCGATCACGGAGCCAGCGAACTCAAGACAATCGGGAGGACCCCGTCGCCGTCTCGGGATTTCTCGGAGCAGGTCGGCCTGGGGCCTCGGGCGCTCGATCGAGGCATCTCCAGGCGCGTCTTTGGCCGGCGGGGTCACGCACTCCTGGGCCTCCTTGCGCAGCGGTTGCTGGCTACACCACCCACAGGACCCGCAAGCCCACAGAGACAGCGGCTCGTGAGGAGGGATGATGAGGAGGGATGAAGGATGAGGAGGGATGATGAGGATCATTACGATATTGAACCTTGCTATGGCTTTCCAATGCTTTGGTGGCATCGGGAAGGCAGAAGGGGGGAGGAGGAAGAGGACAATCAGGAGAGAACTCCTGGGAAATCTTCGTGTGCGCGCTCGGAAGACCGATTAGGCCAGCTTAGGGGTCAACGAAGCCGTACTCAATCAACTTAGCCACTGTAGTAAGCCAGATCAGTTAAACGATGCCAGGCTGAATTGGGCTGGACTCGGCCAGAGCAACACCAAGGACGCTCCAGGGCCAAAGCTTGATTCAGCCTCCCGAGAGTTGCAACCGAAGGAGAAAGAGGGAGGATGGGGAGGAGAAGCGGTCGGCAATGTTGGATGTTTTTTGGGCAGCGGCCGTGCTCGCCCCGGAATCTTGGCCAAAACACGCTCCAGGAAAGGTCCCGGGGATGACTTTGAGGGTGGCTCGCGTGGCGCCATTCTTCGCGCAGATCATGTCCAGTGGCGGAGCTCGTATGGCGCCACACTCCCCAATTCGGCACGACCCCTCCTATGCAGCGTGCCCCAACTCCTTCCGTCCCGTGGTGTGCAGTATATGATGAGAGAGGCATCTTCTGCGCTACAGGCGGCTGCATAGGGATGGGTCCCTGGCCGGGATACTTGTCACTGCCTCCCAAGAGGGCTTGCACTTCGGGGTTCTTTCTGTCCTTCCAACGAGCTGGGCCCGTTTGCCGCCCCGGCGGCCCCCCGTCCGTCGTCGCACCATCTCTCCCCGTATTCACACCTGTCGCCGCCGCCCCGTTGCACCCGCCCCCGTTGCATTGCAATCGCACTGCGTTGCAATCGCATCGCGTTGCATTGCAACATTGCAATTGCATTGCCATCGCAGTGCGTTGCATTGCAAGCGCATTGCGCTGCACTCCTTTGCGTTGCTTGCGCCACAGAGAATGCACCATATGGTTTGCGCCACTTAGAGTGCACCTGATTTCACCGCTTTGATTGCACCGAATAGATTGCAAGAACATCTCTGTTTGAGGTTCACGCTGGCGAGCATTTTGCTCGCGTCCACAGAGCATGCAGGAACTGTCCACTCGGCCGAGAACGCCCTCACCCATCGTCAGACAGTGAGGAGCGAAGCAGGTGGGAAAGCGCATCGTCAAAAATCTTCGAAACGCAATCCGCTCCTCGGAACAACTCCCACAAGACCCGGGGCCCCGAACTCACTCGACATGGTCGGTCCACTTCAGCTTGAGGCCGGTCATCTTCTCCAATCTCTCACGGCAACTCTTCACCGATGGCAAAGCATGGTACTTCTCGTGAACATCATCGTGGTGCTTCCGGCTGTTCCGCCTGCGCCCAGAGCCGCCCTTCGACAGGTCCTCTGGGTACTGGGCGCGCGGAACGCCAAGGAAGTCTGTCACCTGGTCGTAGGTGGCCTGGGGGTCGGCGAAGAAGTCCTCGCTGGTGAGGAACAGGAAGTTTTCCCTGCGATATTGGTGCGCCCGACAAGGTTGCTGAGGCATTCGCCTTACCACCCTTGGGCAGGGTTCATGGTCGTCATTCTCAGGCCTACTCTTTGCTCGGTTTACACTCGAAGCTTAGGCTCTATATTTTTTTCGTATGGTAATGTGCACGCCAGCGCCCCAAGCACACACAACCAAGAACGCCCAGCTAACCCTCTTGGGGTTCGCCGTACGTCGGCAAACGATTTCGAAACCTGGAGACTGAATGTCTCAGCAGCCTGGAAACATGCATCAGTCACGCTGGTATCAAATCTTAGCCAACTGAACGGCCACAGGTGGTAGGAGCAAGCCCAGCGCATGTTTAGGCAAACCTGGCCTGGGGAATACCTTCAGCCACGCTTCCAGCCCGTTGGCGTAACAGGCGCGCTTCGCGAAGAAGCCGTGGGTCAGGGTCTGCCCCTTGAGGAATCCCTTGCCGAAGCCGAGGTTCGACCTGTTGATCTGAATGTCCTTCAGATCCTTCTCGTCCAGGACGTCCTGCACGCCGTTGGACATCGCCCATGGCACGGGATCGCGGAACATTGTGATGAATTTGGCATCTGGGCCCAGGACGTCCTTCAAGGCCGCCACGGCCCCCTCTCCAAGGCCAAACTTCTTTGCGATGGGGTAAGTGATTGTCTGCTCATCGCCTGGGTCTCCAAGGAACAGGGTCCTCGGGCTTGAGTCGAAGGCGATCTTCTTCGAGCACTTGACCTGGAATTGCCCCGTGTACCTCTCGATGAACCCTGCCTTGTTGTCACCGTTGTAGTTCCATATGCAATTGTGCTCCTTGGTCTGGCCATAAGTGAGGTCCGGGTGCAAGTTCATCGCGTCGGCAAGAGTGGTCGACCCGGAGTGGCCCACGCCGATGTACATCACCTTTTGTGGTTGGTCCAGAACCCGACCAACATCAGAAGCAGGATCTCCCCTGCCGCTCGTTCTGAAAGGGGGTATGTCGGTCGACCTTATTTCAGGCTTCGTGGGGTTTCCGAATGGGCCAAACATTTGGGGCCCGACCCTGGGATATACGATGGGGGGGCGTTCATCCTCGATGGGGGTGCGTCCGGATAGCCCCCCTGGGATGTATCCCAAGATTTCCCCCTTTGTTCTAAACGGCAGAACTTTTCCGGCGGAACGCGTGGATTGGGAGAAAAACATCGCCTGCGGCGTTCTCCTTCGAAAAAGGCGAAAATACGCACGAACCTTAACGTTCGGAGGCTCTCGCGGATTCAGTGGGTCGGCTCTGGGCCTTTCCTCCCCTGGCGCGCTCCGCGCGCTGTGGGGTGTCCCGGAGGTGTCGCCAGGGGGTCCAGCGCCGATCCAGGAAACCCGTGCGAAACTCCGACAGTGAATGCTTGCGCTGGTTTTTGTAACCCCATCTCCCGCATCCTCCCCAGACCACGACAAACTTCCGACGCAATCTTTCTCTTGTGAGCGGCCAGCTCGGGGGGGAAGCGAGAGGGGGAGGGCCTTCTCAGAAGGCTCGGGTTTCCTCTGGCATTATGGAAAGTCTTCTCTGAGCCTTCCCCGAAGACGCAGGAGACTTCTCAGAAGGCCGGAGGGCTTCTGTCGGGAGGAACGAAAGGGTAGGATAGCAAAGGGTAGGGTAGATAATCACCTCCCAGCGCAAGGAGGCGCCCATGTACCGAAGACTGGGCCTGGGGGCGGGGCCGAAACCAGCTGCCTGCAGCAGATTTCGCATCCCCCCCCCTTCCCTGCCGCTCCCTGCCCCGCCCTTTCGCCCAGTCCGATTCTGAGAAGCCTCGCCGCCTTCTTCTGAGAAGCCTTGCCGCCTTCTCACGTTGCCCCGGGCGCGCTTTTCTACGTCGACATCTGGGATGGTGCATAAGCCTGATGTTGGCTGACGTCTTCCAAAACAACATCCCGGGCGCGCCGCCAAAAGAACATCCCGGCCACTTCCCGGGGGGGCACCTCTCCGTCTCTGCGCCCTGTCTGCTGGCCCTGAAGCCCTCGGAAACGCGTCCCCGCGGAAGCCGAGGTGTCGGTGAACAGCACAGCGGCCGAACAACAGATGCTAATCCTCCTCCTCCTCCTCCACCTCCTCCTCCTCTTCCTCCTTCTCCTCCTCGTCTTCCTCTTCCTCGTCCTGCTCCTCCTCCTCTTCTACCTCCTCCTCTTCGCCCTCGTGATACGCTGATACGCTGATGGCGAAATAATGGTACCGACGCCGCCCTCCCTCCTCCTCCAAAAACTCCTCCTCCTCCTCCTCCTCGCCCTCCTCCTTCTCCTCCCTCCTCCTCCTCCAAAACCTCCTCCTCCTCCTCCTCCTCCTCTCCTCCTCCTCCTCCTCCTCCGTCTCCAAACAATGCAGGATCCGTCAGCACGGTATCGGGAAATCGGCTCGCATCGGAACGTGTGTCCGATCGGCCTGCATCGGCACGCGGCTTCGATGCCGAATCGGATCGGCCGCGCCAGGATGCACAGCAGCGCCACGCTGCCGACAGCGGGCCGCGCCGCTCCGCCGAGCATCTGACTACCTACCAGACCACCCCAACCCAACCCGAAGACCCGAATTTCGGGTTGGGGGGGGGGTAAGGGTTCCACATGTGTTTTTGTCGATGCTTCCCGACCCCCCCCCCCCTGGAAATCGAGGGCAAATCTGAGCCTTCGGGTTGGGTTGGGGTGGCTTGGTGGGTGGTTAGCATCGGAACCGAATCGGATCGGGGCCGCCGGCATCGATGCCGAAGCGGATCGATCGGATCGAAGCGAGCCCTGCGGCGGGAGAGCGGCGTGGCGGGGGAGGCCGTCGGCCGAGGTCGGCCCTTCGGCCCCCCACCGGCACCAGCGCAGGGCAGAGGGAGGAGGATGACGTCGATGGAGACGAGGAGGAGGCGGAGGAGGAGGCGGAGGAGGAGGAGGAGGAGCAGGAGGAGGAGGAGGAGGAGAAGGCCTTCGGCAGCAGGCCCTTCACGCAGGAGGTGTGCTGGGCCCCCACGCTCAGGAACGACAGCCCCTCCTGGGGAGCTGCGCGCGCGGAGGGCCGAGGAACGAGAACCTGTGCCGGCAGGCTGCGGCCGGGGGGCGCGGACCCAGGGGTCGAGCAGGGGATCGACTGCAACATTGACTTACCCCCAAGTTGCTTTTCTGGTGAAATCTATGACAGAATACTTGTGCTTTTCGTGTGCCTACAGACATTCTACGCTCTTTCCGTAGAGGCGACGAACAACTCAATTTCTGGGGTGCATCACTTCTGTAGTCGACTCCCTACTCGCAGGGGGAAGGGGGGCACCGAGCTGGAATCGGCGGTGCACCGCGGATGGATCGGCGAGAGGCCCCCGCCGGCGAGTCCGCACGCTCCTGGGCGGGGCGGGCTCTCGGGCCCCCCTCGGCGATCCCTGGGCGCTTGGGGGTCGTGGCGGGCCGCCCTGAGCCTGCCCCCCCTCGGCGGTGCCCCTGCTGTGCGCGTGCACCGATGCTGGCCAGCATCCTGAGCAGGGGATCGGTGCAGGCGCCAGGCGCCCTCCCGGCCTGCGTCTCCAGGGAGGCAGGCGCACCGATCCAGGGCCCCTGGGATGGGCCCGGCCAGGATCGGTGCGTGTGCACAGGTTCTCTTCGCCCCGGGCGCGAGGGGGGGCGGCCTTCTGAAGGCAGGGGGGAGGGCTTCTGCTCAGATCTCCGGCGGTCTGATTTTTTCAATCGCGCCGCTTCGCCTCTCTCCTCTGTCTCGGGCTCTGGGACTCTGGGACCTGTTTCCGGCCGGGCCCCGAAAAACATCACAAATGGACGGGTGAAAAGCTACCTCTGGAGAAGCGGTCGGGAGCTCTGGGATCGCGGATCGAACATATCACATCGCTAGACGTCTGGGTAAGCAGAAGGGGGCCCTCTCAAGAACCCTTCCAGCCTCCGAATGCCTTCTTGTGAGCCTCCGGGCCCTTCCAAGAAGGCCAGCGGTCTTCCCAAGAGCCCCATCCCGTCTTCTGAGAGGACCGCCCCTCTCGCGCCACCCCACTGTGTGCGAGGCGAGGGTTTATCTGCATGCACCGCCCCGCGGACCGATGCCCTGCAGTGGCCCCAAGGGTCTGTGGACGTGGATGTGTCTGTGCCCTGGGGGGCCCGAGTGTGTCCACATCCACCGCCCCCCGAGGCCAAGGAGGAGCATCGTTTCCCAGGCGGTGGATGCAGATGCACTCCGGCCTCGGCTTGTGCGCGCCGCCGATCCATCGCCGCGGGCCCCGCGTCCGCAACGACGCGCTCGCCCAGGTACTCCACCGCGTCCGCTGGGTCCTCGACGCCGGCCTCGAGCTGGTCGAGGACGTCGCCGGGCCTTTGCCGCCCCCCCCCCCCCACACCCTCCTGGACGTGCGCTGTCCAACTTCGCTCACTGCTCGGTCCCTGGAGGAGGCCTCGACCCTTCCCCCGGGGCCGGCTTCTCGTGCGGGGTCCTCCTTGCAGAACACCAACGGCAGAACATCCCGCCGCGCTCTTCACGGCGCGATGAGCATGCCTGCGCCCCGAGGCATCGGGCCCACCCGCACTGCTACATTCGGCGGCGCGCCCGGGGGGGGAAGCGAGAAAGAGAAGGCCATCTCAGGAGGCTCGAAGTCCCCCAGGCCTTCCGAGAAGCTTCCCGAGCCTTCCTCGAAGACACGGGGGACCGCTCGGCAGGCCCGAAGCCTTCTGAGGAGCCCCGCCGCCCCCTGAGAAAGCCTTCTTCTGCTCACTCCCCCCCCCCTCCCTCGCCGCCGATGGACGACCGCCCGCGGTCGCGGTCGCGGTCGCGGTCGCGGTCTCGGCCCCGACCCGTTTCTGGGGCGCTCGGGCGCGCTCGAGCGCGGCCTGCGGGCTCGGCCGACCGCCCCCCCAAGCGCCGCGCCGACCCGCGGCCCCGATGCCGGTCGCGGCCCCGGCCCCTGCCCGAGGCGCGGGGCGCGGCCACGCTTCGGCCGCGGCCAAACGCCCCAGGAATCCAAACACCGCGCCTCTGTCGACGGCGGGGGCGGGCCAACCGTGGGCGGGAGTGTCCATCGCAGACAGGAAGATGGAGAGAGCCATACGGGGCAATACTTGAACGAGCGTGCTGATCATCTGGCCGATTGTGGCGCCGATCGGATCTCATGTGGCCCTGCTGATGTTCATCGCTGGGCCGGCCTTGCTGGTTAACCCATTTGCTGTTCGAGGACTGGCAGCCCCAGTTCAGTTCCCACACAGGCCATCGCAAACAAGCGAACGGCGCGGAGGAGAATAGGCGGCAACCAGCGCGAACGGCACGACCCTCCTGGTGCCGTGGGACCCCCGGCTGGTGTCCCGTCCAGGATCGTCTGTGTGATGGCCCCGAGGCCCGAGGATACTTGTTGATAATGTCTGCTTCGCAGGCGCTGCCGAAACGCTCCAGGGCGCCTGAGCCGCCGAGACCCTGGACAGGCGACTCGGCCACGCGAACACCCCCTTCCGGACCCTGGGCAGGCGACCTCTCGGGTCGGGCGAAAGGGGGGGAATAACAAAGGGTGTGTTTCAGAATCAGCTCACGTAGCTGATTTTCCCGGCGCCTCCGGGCGCCGGAGGCGGCTATGTATCGAGGAATGGGCTCCTCGGTGGGGCCGAAACCAGCTGCATGCAGCAAATTTCGTACCCCCCCCCTTCCCCAATCCCCCCCTTTCGTCCGGCCCGAACCTCTTCTGTGGCCGAAGACATGCCGTCGCCTCCGATCCAGCGGGGACGCGTCTGGGCGGCCGCGGCCCCCGCCTCGCCCCCGAGGCTCCAGGGGCGCACCCCGCCCGCCCCGGGGGGGCCAGCCGGCCGCCCTCGCGCAGGCCCCGGATCGGTCGTGGCTTCTTCGCTTCGTGGCCAAGGCTGGCTTCGTCTCGAAATTCTTGTCCAAACGCGCCCTTGGGCATCACAGTTTTTTTTTGCATCTTGAGCTGTCTGGGAAGCCTTTTCTGGGCGTCTCGGGAGTGTCGGGGGGGGGGGGGGGTCTCGTGGGGCTTCGTGCTGGGCTTCCGAAAGCCCAGGGCCAGAAATGTCCGTTCGGCCCCAGCGAGGCCAGGCTTATATGCTCGCCGCGCGTAGCAAGTGGTTGCGTGGTTGATACAGACGTGCACGCCGGGTCCAATAGATACGAGTTTTGATAGTCAGTAGTCGTAGACGGGGCGTTGGTAAGTCCGACAACCTCGTATAGAGTTTAGCTGCAGACGTACAGGGGCAATCCAACCTGTTTTGAAGGTCAGCTCCAGACTGAAAGAGGTTGGTCGATCACTTAGCGTCACTTAGATCAAGTACACATAGTTGCTAAGTAGGCTGACAAGTCCGCTGGTTGATGTAGCTAAGTACTACGCAGCCTGTACGGCCGCCAACCCCTTACATGCAACGCGCGCGCGTAGTTCAACACGTAGTTTCCTTAGTGGTTTCGCATGTCAGAATTCGGCGCAGCGTTATATATGTATCAACGTGACGCACCCCGAATCAATGCGCAGGCCCAACACTTGCAGCGTCTAGGGGACAACACATGTTCTGCGTGAGGTGTTGCATTGCTGCTGCGTACTTTGTTCGTTTGCGTGGCAAATTCCGCTGCTGCGGGCTTTCCGTACCGAGGCTTGTTTCCAACATTGCAACGTTGAGCTCAACAGTCACGCATGCGAACTGGTACTCTGCAATTCCATGGTGCTGGAAAGTACGCGCGTGGTTTGCATTGTCCCTACGTGCGCATTTTCTTAATCATGGCAAATTCCACAATCAAGAATTTTCGGCGCCACCAATTGATTTTCGACGCTGCATCTCATCAACCGACCATGCGCCGTTAGGTTTGAAGCTTCGCAAAAGAAACTGCTCTGATGTCGGAAAGCGCGCGTCACATTCTATGACGTCGCTACATGTGCTATCCCTTGATCATGGCACGTTCCGTTGCGACGGGTGCTCGGCGCCGTGATTCTGTTTCCCATAAATTCAGCGCTGGCATGATCAATCGTGACGTGCTTATATACGGCAAGTGTGTCGGTAGGACCCTGGCGGTGGTTCCTGATACCGTGCGGATCGTTCGACCTGGAACGAACGATCGGCGGCTCTTCGATCGCCAGCTCGCTCGACTGTGGGCCGCCAGCGACGTTGAACGTTCAACGTCCGCGGCGGGGTCGCAGCCGCGTCGACGCGACACGAACTGACAGTACGCGAACTGCTTCAAATGTTGAGTGCGTCTCCGATGAAACATACAAAGCGCGCCTCAGCGCGCCACGCACGTGTCTCGCTGCGATGTCTTCCACGTGCAGCATTGGGCTCGGAATTTACGGTCAGGGACTTTTGGATAGCGTGTCGCGGCGGCGGCCCTGGTGACACGCCATGCCCTGCGAGCGGATAGCGTGTCGCTCCGCTCCGCAGGGCGGGACACTGACGCTTGGGAATGGGAGAAAAGACGGCGTGTCGCGCCAAAGCCCGGTGGGTCCGAACGGGCAGAGCGACACGCTATCCCAACGCTCCTGGCCGTATGCAGCGTCGTGTTTGAGATTCCAGTTGGGCGCGGCATCACTTCTTGAAGCGCGCACGTTCACCGCACGGTGTTACCCTTGACGCGCGCATTGTTGCGCGTCGTTGCCTGGCCGTCGAAACAAAGACTCGCAGTATGCGAGAGAAATGCGGGTATCCCTTTGCCGTTTTGGAGCATGCTCGAAGTTGCGCCGCGGGACTGTGGCCATGTAGTGTTCCAGGAGGTAGCCTGCGCAATCGCTGGTGTGAAATAGCTGAGGAATCAAATGGAACCAATTCTGATGAATGGGCCACGATCGACGCGGGGTGCGCGCAAAGATGGGCCGAGGGCGGCATACGAAGTCCTCCGCTGTTGTCATATGTGGATCCCCTGCTCTCCACAAAGGCACGATCCGCGTGAGGTCCATGCCGAAATCAGCGGGGGACGGCATACGAGTTCCGCCGATGAGATCGTACATGGAGCTCACTAATGTAAGCGCAAGGATCTGAGCACTTCCTTGGGGCGCAAAGAAAAATTCTTCGGCGGCCCAAGATCACCGGCGACGTCTGGCGAATAATAGCGCGGCGGCGAACAGACGACGACGAACGACGACGGCCGATGGTCGACGACGACGACCGATGACGACGACAATCCCTGGGGGAATAATAATATTTTTTTCGCTGTCAGGAGCGCTGTTCCCCGCTTCAGAAGAGAGGATGGGGGGGGCTCACGTTAGGGGGCACCCGCGTGAGGGGTGTGCCAAAGCAAGCGGGGGTCGGCATGCGCCGGCGCCCGCTCAGACCGTAGGTGCCCCCCCCCCCTGGCAGGCAGAATCCGCGCGGAGTGTGCGCCGAAACATGCGGGTGGGCGCACGCTGGGGCGCCCCCTCCGTCTTCAAGCGCGTCCCCCCTCACGGGGATACGCTCCGCGCGCATTGTTTGCCGCAAGTGGGCGAGGGACTGCGTGCAGTGACGCAACTCTATTGGGGGCACGGTCCGCGGGTGGACCGCGGGAGGACGTGCCGAAGAACTGGAGGGAAGCTGCGCGCGGTGACGCCTACTGAGACCGTACGTGGAGCTCCCGCGTGCGTCGGCGCGGTGCGCGTTGAGACCGTAGGTGGGCCTCCCTATGGTGTGTGTGGGTGGGGGGCGATCCGCGCGAGGGGTGTGCCGAAACAGGCGGAGAACCGCATGCGGGGACGCCCGCCGGGTCAGCAGGTGCTCCTATGGGCGGCGCGATCCACGTGAGGTGTGCGTGTGTGTTTTGCCCGGCTTCCGTCTCCCTCCCGCCCGCGCCGGGCCTTCCCCTTCTTCCTCACGTGCATTGCGGCTTACTCTGCAATTATATGCCCTACTTTTGTCCCATCCGCCAGCGCAGTCACTCTGCCTAGCCGCCGACGTAAAAAGTGCGTGTGTGTGTGTATGTTTGTCAGCGTTTGTGTGTAAGTGTGTGTGTGTTTGTGTGTGTGTGCTGTGTTGTGGTATGCTGTGTTGTGCTGTGTTGTGCTGTGCTGTGCTGTGTTGTGCTAAGTTGTGTGTTGGTTGTGTCGTGTTATGGTATGTTGTGTTATGTCGTGTTGTGCTGTGTTGTGTTGTGTTGTGTTGTGGTGTGTGTGATGTGTATGTTTGTCTGTGTGTGTGTCTGTGTGTGCGTGTGTCTGTGAGTGTGTGTGCGTGTGTGCGTGTGTGTGCGTGCTGAAACGAATGGAGTTTCCCATGGAGGGCACAATCCGCTCGAGAGGCGCGCCGAAAAGGGGCGGCGGACCGCGCGAGGTCGCACCCGCCGAGGTCGCACTTCCGGTGGAGCCCTCTCGTGGGGCAGCACGGTCCGCGTGAGGGGAGTGCCAGAACACAGTCAACATCTGTGGTAAGGACGCGCTGCAAGGACGCGAGACCATTGGACGGTCCTTGGACGCCCCGGTTGATGCTTCTCTAGCGGCGCACTGCCGAATAAGTCTGAGGACCCAAGGGTGCCCTTGGGAAGGCTACCGGTCCTTGCTACGGATGTTCCCTGTTGTTGGCAAGGGCACCACGGGGCTACGGTCAGTTCTGCTGCGACGGCCCCTCTCCGAGATCCGTTCAGCACGGGGTGCCGGGACAGCCCGACCGTTTCCCCGGGGCTGGCTAGTCGTCCCGAGCGGTTTTCTTCGGGAGCAGAGAACATGATCAACGACACGCCGCCGCGGGGAGCCCATCAGCGTGCCACCTCGGAGAAAGCACTCGGCATTCGGGCAAAAACGCAGAAAGGACATGCTGACGGGCTACCAACGGTAGCGCGTTATTGATACGTTTCTCCCTCCCGACTCGTTGACGGTCCCAGGGCCCGGCGAGGGCCCCAGAAGAGGCCGAAAACGGCGAAGGGCCCCAGTGCTTTTCTTCATAACAACGTGGGAGGCCTGGGTCCGTCTCCGTCGTCGCCGTGATCGCCGCCATCCCGCCGGAGACGGAGAAAAGCGGTCTTTCATGTCCACTCAAGGTCGAAGGATTGGGCGGAAAGGTCTTACACCATCCCTGGGAGCCTGGGTGAAGTGGGATTCCGTGGCCCAGATTCTGGTCGTTTGTTGTTGTCTGTTGTCGTCGTCCCCCCCGCGACCCCTCCGCGACTCACCCCGCGACCCACCCCTCCGCGACCCACTCGCGACCCACCCGCGACCCACCCCGCGCCCGCCTCCTCTCACGCTTCTCTGTGATTGAGGGGTGCTTCGTACACTTTTGGGGGTCCGCGCGGAGTTCTTGGACCTGCGCTGGGCCCCCCCTCCCTGGTGCGCTGAGCGCCCCAATGGCGGCATTTTTTCGAGAGACGCCAGATCTCAGGGGCGGCGCTGGACCCACCTCCATCCACGTCAGGGCCTCGTAGGCCCGGACACGCTAGAACCGGACACCCAACACCCCTCGAAACCAATTTGTTCAAACGGCGGCACGAACAAAATACTGCACTGCAGCACTTCCATACTAAACCCGGACACAGGCCCCAAAAGTCTGCAAGACCCCCCGAAACCCAGGCACAAACCCGAACCCTGCAGTGCAACACACAAAACATGTACGGGTGCTGAAAAACGTGACTTTGCAGGAAAAGATAACATTTCCTTGGTTTTCCGTGTCCTGGTTTATCTGTGCCCTGGTCTCCGGTAGCCTGACCAAGAAGCCCGGGCGGAGCTCTGGAGCTTTACGTTTATGTAGTTGTCCCTTCTTCGAGGCGTTCCTGCTGCTGTCGCATGGGATCGGATAGTATGCGGCCCTGGGACTCGAAGCGCCCGGCGCGCGTCGGGCCAGATCGTATCGTAGGAGGCCCTGGGCCTCGAAGCGCCGGCGAGTCGGACCAGGCAGGCCCAGCCAGCGAGTCGGACCGCCTCGGATCCGATCGTAGGCGGCCCCTGGGCCTCTAAGCGCCCGGCACGCAGGGGTGCCCCCGCAGCCCGGCCCAGTCCCGCGCGGCGAGGCGCTCCGCGGCGACCTCCCGGGCGGCGACGTCGCAGCCCAGGGCGGCGGCGGCCTCGAGCTGCAGGGCGCCTCGGAGAGCAGAACCCAGACAACCTCCTCCTCCTCCTCCTCCCCCTCCTCCTCCTCCTCCTCCTCCTCCATCTCCTCCTCCCTCCATCTCCTCCTCCCTCCTCCTCCTCCTCCTCCTCCTCCTCCTCCTCCTCCTCCATCTCCTCCTCCCTCCTCCTCCTCCTCCTCCTCCTTCTCCTCCTCCTCCTCCTCCTCCTCCCTCCTCTCCCTCCCTCCCTCCCTCCCTTCCTCCCTCCCTCCCTCCTCTCTCCCTCCTTCTGTTCCTTCTCCTCCTCCTCCTCCTCCGATGCCTCCTCCTCTCAAGTCTTTGGGCTCGAGTGATGCTCGCCCGAGTCCGCCTCGGCGCTTCCACGTAGCGCTTCAGGGGCACCGTGCCGGGGTTCGCTCAGAGACTGTGGACTCGGTGCCGTGGATGCGCTACGCGTGAGTGGAATGATAAGTTCGAGAGCAACGGGCTGAAATATTCGCGTTACCATCGACAGGTCAAACTGCACAATGGTCATCGTTCCGAGTCGCCGAAGCACATTTGTTTCCAGGAGGGGGAGAGAGAGCTAGAGGCACAAGCTGATGCAGGCAAGTGGATTCTGAAGTGCCAGGGCTCCCTGGCTCAGTCAAGGCCCACCTGGCCAATGCTATCAACGCCACCCAGGACGCCACCGTCCAGACCGTCCTCCAGGCGGAGCTGACAAAGCTGGAGGGGAAGGAGAGTCCAGAGGCGCAGCAGACAGCAGCAGAGGACGTGCGCAAAGCAAGCGCTGCCTGGCACGATGCGGCGACCAAGCACGATCCAGCTGTACGGTCGGTGGTCCGCCCTCGCGAGTCACTCGCCTTCGCCGTGCAGAAGGAGCAGAGGGCGACGGTCGTCTTGGCTACAGCAGCAGCTAAGCAGACGGCAGCTCCAGAAGTGGCTCGCGCGGAAGGCGTTCTACCAGATGGCCGTGACAAGGCCGAAGATGGGAAACAAATCTTCAACTTATCACGGGATTAATCCGTCTTCGCTGGCATCGACTAGTTCGAGCAGGCTGGTAAGGATACCATGACCAATGTTGAGAAGGGGCTGAATGCGGCCAAAGATGCCCTCTCAAGTCGTGAGGCTGAGATCCGGGGATGGCTGACACGTGCTGCTGATAATCGCAAGCAGGTCGAGGATCGCATGAACAACAATACGAATAGTCATACTAATAACGAGACTAAGAAGAAGACGAAGAAGAAAAAGAAGAAGCGGCGCATGGCGCTGAAAGTGCAACTGTCGCGGCCGAGGGCGTAATCAAGACGGCAGGAGCCGCTGTCGGCAGCGGCGAGGGCACGCAGGCGGCAGCGGAGGCGGCTGCGGCAGGGGGCACCCCAGCCAGCAGCGCCTCTGCAGTGGTGGTGCCGCAGCAGCAGCTCGTGACGAGGCTGTTCAAGCCGACGAAAGCTTTCGGAAGTCAAATTCGCTGCTGTCGCAGCCACGCAGGAGTAGAACGGGAAGGGCCTCGCCGCAGGGTCTGCCAAAGCCAACGGCAAAGGCTTCTCCTGCGGCTGTGGCGCAGCGGTCAAAGAAATCTACGACGGAAGGTTTGAGCTCGCCTACCCCTTCCTCCTCAATATCTAGTTCTATGTCGCCAGCGAGCTGCGCTTCGACGGGTGAACCATCACTGAGAACGTTCAAAAACGACTCGCGGAGGGCGGCTCCTAGTAATTACTGCGACATCAGGCTCATCGTTGGAGGGTGCACGCCTGGTGGATCATGGTTCCACTACTGGTGCGGACGATAAGAACACATCCATGTTTCCGTAATGTCATATGTATGTGCGACACGGTTTGGCAATAGTTCGCTTAACAGAACGTGAATCTCCAGTGAGGGCAGTGGCTGAAACACATGCAGCTCGGCGCGAATTAGGGCAGCTGGACAAGGCACGTCGCCACGAGGGACTACGTCTTCATGCGAATCCTGCACGCGAAGACCGTCATGCCAAACCAGTTGCTGCGAATCAGGGGATCAGGGTCAAGGAGGGAGGTGAGTAGGTCGTCAATCGCGGTTACCTTCAAGTGCGTAGCCTTGAATTCGTTTTCAGCATTCAGGTTGTAAGAGCAGGTGCGGGTCACACGCTGGATGGGATGATGCCTGTTGTCATTCAGATGTCAGGATCTGCTGTGGCTCTTGCCTGTTCCTGCGACATTGATGTCCTTGGCTCCACTGGTGCGACATGGATCGGATATCAACGCTTAGGCGGCATTCTGCATGCGTTACGGCTTCCATCGACCGTGGTGGGAGGCTTCAACATAGGAGCCCCAGCCATCACGAAGTCGAGCTTCGCCGCTCGAGTGGGAAGACGCGTTTTGGTTCCAGATGTGCAGAACACATGCGATGCGAGTGCTGCGCGATCGACACTCGATTACGTCATGTGCAGCACGCCGGCGCTGGCGTGGGTGAAGGCGGTCAACACGGTCTTCTCGGTGCCGTGGAAGAATCACCCTGGGCTGGCCATACGATTCAGACGATCTGGAACCTAACTTTTGATTATTCCGTTAACGATGGCGGCGAAGCTGCCGCAGATGGCGAGGCAATGCGCAGACCCGGCACTCGGCTCGAAGTCTAGCCGCGCCCGTGCCGAGTGCAACGCTGTCAGGCAAGAAGCAGCCGTCAAGCGTGAGGGGCAACATATTCTGAGCTTTTCAATGAATGCCTGTCAGTTCTTTCCTCTGCCAACTCAAGGACCTCTCCAAACCCCAGTGGCGATTCCACCCTCGTCGGGGAACTCGTTGAGGTGCAGTCAGTTTGTTCAGAGGAGGATCCCTGGGCGTCGGATTGTGATTTCTGTCCCGAGGACATTTTCCAAACGAATAAGAAGAGCAAGTGTCTCGCAGTGCTTCCGAACCTCGCTCGGATACGGACACGGTTGGGGGGGACGATGTCAACTGTGGTTTGGCGTATGATCGGTATCCTGCGGCGGATTTAGGGGGGCACTTCGGTCCCGGCTTGTGTTGGTGGTTCGGGGTCCCCTGTTAGACTTCTTGGGAGCCCCGTGGATACCCATGCCAGTCCAGCTATTGAGCAGCAGGAAAATAATTTGGCCCTGTCCACGAGCCCCCATGCCAGTAAGGTTGAGCTTGCCAATGCTTCTGTTCGCGAGTAGTGATGGGAGGCACCAAGAACCTCCATAAGTTTTAAATCGTTCTCATCCTCCTCTTCCTCCTCCTCCTCCTCCTCCTCCTCCCTCCTCCTCCTCCTCCTCCTCCTCCTCCTCCTCCGCCTCCTCCTCCTCCCCCCTTCCCCCTACATCGAGAACTCTTCGGTCTACCGGGTCGACCCCACAGGTTGCCAGGCCGTCAGCGGGATGTAATGTCTGAAGACGGTTTGTAACGTTACTTTGGGGAGACAATTAAAACATGGGTCTCCCCATCGCTGTAGTGCGCCTACAGAACAAAAGGGAGGCGGGGCAAACTGGATCGCTGGTGACGTCCTTGCGACCGCCAGATTCCTGCGCACCCCCGCTTGGCGTCAGGCCGCGCATGCCACGCGCTGCGACCTCAGCGTGGGCAGAGACTGCGCTCAGGGGCCACTCCCTGCGCACCGCGCACACTGTCTGGGTTGAGAAGCGGCGCTGAGTACGCAAATGCGGCACGCCGCTAATAGATTTGATACAACGGGAGCGATGTTGAACTCCAAAACCCAATGGCGAAAACCCAATGTAACAATTCATTTTCTGATCGGAAAACGGGAACATCCCCATGTGGATATACGACACGGAATGCAAAAATGCCAAGCGCCAGCGCGCGCGCGACGGCGGCATGCCGCTGATAGATTTTTTACAACTGGACGGAATTTCGCGCGCGCGGCGGCGGCATGTCGCTGATGTATTTGATACAACGGGAGTGATGTTGAAATTTATGGCGAAAACCCAATGTAAAGATTCATTCTCTGATCGGAAGACGGGAAATCCCCATGTGGACATACGACGCTGAATGCAAAACTGCCAATCGCCAGCGCGCGTGCGGCGGCGGCATGCCGCTGATAGGTTTGATACAACGGGAGCGATGTTGAATTCCAAAACCCAGTGGCGAAAGACCAATGTAAAAAATCATTCTCCGATCGGAAGACGGGAACATCCCCATGTGGATATACGGCACTGAATGCAAAAATGCCAATCGCCAGCGCGCGCGCGGCGGCGGCATGCCGCTGATAGGGTTGATGCCAGGAAAGCGGGGTTGAACTCCAAAGTCCAGTGGCGAACACCCAACGTCAAACATTTTTCTCTGATCGGATCGGAGGACGGGAACACCCCCGTGTGGATAGACGACACTGAAAGCACACATGCCAATCGCCAACGCGCGCGCGGCGCCGCTGATCGATTTCTATACAACGGGAGCCATGTTGAACATCAAAACCAAATGGCGAAAACCAAATGTAAACATTCATTCTCTGATCGGAAGACGGGAACGTCTTCATGTTGATATGCGACGCTGAATGCACAAATGCCATTCGCCAACGCGCGGCGGCGGCATGCCGCTGATAGGTTTGATACAACGGGAGCGAGGTTGAACTCCAAAATCCACTAGCGAAAACCCAATGTAACAATTCATTCTCCGATCGGAAGACGGGAACATCCCCATGTGGATACACGACACTGAATGCACAAATGCCAATCGCCAGCGCGCGCGCGGCGGCGGCATGCCGCTGATAGGGTTGATACCACGGGAGTTGAACTCCAAAATGTACTAGCGAAAGCCCAATGTAAAACTTCATTCTCTGATCGGAAGACGGGAACATTCCCATCGGCATTCGCCCTGGTACCAAGATATATTCACATGGCATCGATCGGCATCGACGAATTTTTCCAAGGGGACAAATAAAAAATATTCGGATGCGAAATAATGGCAGTCGGGATCTGGGGGGGTCATCATTTTCTAACCGGTTTTGGACATTATGCGTCTTAGGCTGATACGTTAGAGGCCTCGATCTTACCTAGACCAACGCCAGGAGGAGCGACCAAACGGGGGTTCCCGGGCAGACGTTCC